TATAAGTCATCATCAGCTTTATAAATTAGAAACGAAAAAAAAATAGAAATCGAATAAATAGTAACAAACAAAAATAATAGTCCAACATCATATATAGAAAGGAAAATGGAAAATTGGAAGGAAATTCGCTTTCTATTTTACCGCTTAATATTGTGATTCTGTCATATGTATATACATATTTATATTAGTCGTATTTATTGAATTAAAAATAGCTAAAATAAAATTTTTCTTTGTTAACTTAAGCAGGAATTGACTTTAAAAAATTTTTTACGTTACTTGCTAAGTTGTATTTGCAAAAGTATGTAAGATACCGTGTAATTTACCGATTCTCGCAAACTTTGCACTTTTTACTTTGAAAAATAAATTTGAAATTTGCCTTAAAATTCTCCAGAATTTTTTTAACACCAAAACTTTGATGCAGTAATAAAAATATTCTATGTGCTTCTGCAAAATATGTAATTAACCCCTTCCTTCTCGCTCCCGTGAAAATGACGGGGTGAGGTTTCCCCCGCTATTTCTCGCTCCCGTGATACTGACGGGCTGGAGTGTTCAGTAGTAACGCGCTAATAAGAATAAAACTAATTCATTTCACTAATTCATTTCATTGGAGAAATTGTGAGATGTAATTTTAGATATTCCACGGATTTTGTTTTTCTAAAGCAAGTAACGCAATAAAATTTTGCGGTTCGTCATTTTTGATTGGTAATTTAATATTTGCAAAAATTGTCTCGAAATTTATATTAATTTAAACCGAGCAAAATTATTGAAAAAGTTTCTTAAGGCTAGTGATACAAAAATGAAGATATTTATCAAAACTCTAAAAGCAAGCAAATGTTATTTTCGCAAAACAAAATGATATTCGCATGCCTTCAAGTGACTTCACGCGTGATTAAACCGAGATGAGGGCAGTGATTGCGGACTTACTCTCAGATAAAATAACGCAATCGAGATAATCGGTGGTGAATTTTGCAATTGCTGAACAAATAGCTAAATCTTCTCCAGTGAAAACTGAATTAATGGGATGGATTTTAGAAATATTGCACACATTGTTTCTTGAATTAATAGCCTTAATACCTATGTTCTTATTGGATTTCGAGGCATCGGTGGCCAGAATGGTAAAATCTTTCTAAAGGGTGTGAAGGGTTTCCTGAGGATTTCGTAGGAGAATTTCGTTGAGAGTTTCTTCGTAGTTGGATACGGAAGATCATGTACACATAGACAAAGGTTCGGGAGATCTGTGAGAAAATCCGCAATGCAGAAAGGAATGACGTTGAATTAACTTATACCGTTTTGGTTGAAGATGTCATGAAACTTGAGAAAAATGTGTTTCTTTTTCAAGTCTGGTAAAATGGTATTTATATAATAGGAGATTCATTGGAGACCGAGAGCCAAGGGAACAGTAAGGAGATTGAATTGTTTTGTTACTAAGAAGAGTCTGTGTGATATTGAAGTAGTGCCAGATTCTTTGAGGAGAATAGGGATTGCCACTATTTCCAAAAGTTCTTATGAGAGGATTCAAAAGGCCATTCTCACTGAAAGCGATTGTGAGAAAATTAGATGCGAACGAGAACCTGATTGGCAAGTTTTTCGCGTGTANAGAATAGTAAAATCTTTCAAAAGGGTGTGAAGGGTTTCCTGAGGATTTCGTAGGAGAATTTCGTTGGGAGTTTTTTCATAGTTGGATACGGAAGATCATGTACACAGAGACAAAGGTTCGGGAGATCTGTGAGAAAAACCGCAATGCGGAAAGGAATGATGATGAATTAACTTATACCGTTTTGGTTGAAGATGTCATGAAACTTGAGAAAAATGTGTGTTTTTTTCAAGTCTGGTAAAATGGTATTTATATAATAGGAGATTCATTGGAGACCGAGAGCCAAGGGAACAGTAAGGAGATTGAATTGTTTTGTTACTAAGAAGAGTCTGTGTGATATTGAAGTAGTGCCAGATTCTTTGAGGAGAATAGGGATTGCCACTATTTCCAAAAGTTCTTATGAGAGGATTCAAAAGGCCATTCTCACTGAAAGCGATTGTGAGAAAATTAGATGCGAACGAGAACCTGATTGGCAAGTTTTTCGCGTGTAAATATTTACCAATATTCGGGTTCTTCTTCGCATGCGAAAAAATCGCAAGCATATGAAAAAAATTCGAAAATCGTGTTATACTAGAGGCTACAATGAGAGAAAATTATCCCTAAATCAATAAGCAACGCGTGTCTGTTTATTTTTAATAAAATAATGGAATCTTGACAAAATAGCCGACGGTACTGGACGAATTGAAAACTTATTGTAATTAGTTAAGGAAATATCAAAATTGCTAAAATCTTTGATGATCCCCTGCTACAGGTCCCTCGACCCCATTTGGTGCCTCGATCCACAGTTTAAGAAACTCTGATCTAGATGGGTAAAATGTCTCGTACAATTTAACTTGCCTATTCGACTATCGATTTTCAAAACAACCATTTAATTTGGCGGATTTCTCTTAAGATTTGGAGTTCATTTAAAACAAAACGAAAAAATATTTGATAATAAATTAATATTTTTAAAATTCATAAGAGCATAGTTCCTTTAATAAATAAAAATTAAAAAAAATTAAAAAAACTGAAAATCATTAAGAATTCAAAATTTGCTAGACAAGAGTTATATTTAAGTATAAAATTCAGTTATTGCAGAATGCTATGTTTCACATAAATTAATCGTTGAATTGTAATGTAATGCGAGAGTTTATGTTTTAATAATAAATTTTCCTATATATACGAATATTTTTAAAATGTTAGTATAAAAAACTAAACAAGACGAGAATAGCATTTGTTGAAATTTTGTATAACTTGTTCTCAAACTAATTTTGCTGAACATTTTTACAAAATTTCCAATACTATTGCCCAAAAGCCTGAGAATACAAAAATAAAAAACTGACTGGAAAACTTTCTTGAAGTTTTGTCTTCGAAAAGAAAAAAATAATAAAATTTATGTAACATTTAAAATAAAAGATTAAGATCAAATTTTTAAAGTCCTCTTATCAAATTCTTCAATTTATTATTGGCATTTAAGAAATAAATACTCTGCAATAAATAATTTAGTTAAATGACATTTCTATCATAATTATTGAAACGAATTAACGAGAGCTTCCAGAAACGAGCTTGCTTCAAATGAGCACGCAAACGAATGTTATAAAATAAAGTTTCTTTTTAGAATTGATTGTAAAAGAATAAGTTAAAAAAATACAAAAATAAATAACCATCACTTTCTCTATATTTTTTCCCGATACATCTGAAGCTTATGATAACAGCCTATCTATCAGTTTTTGTTTCACAATAATACCATCATATAATTTGTTATATGTGAATAAAAGCATTTTTCAAAGACATGTTTTATATGCATTGAAAAAAATAAAAGCGTTAACAAAAGAAATATTTCCAAAGATTTCAGATTTTTAGTTTCGTCGATTCGAATGGTTTCAAAATTTTCAAACTGACCTATTTATAAATGAAATTCTTTTTCTAGCCTATAGTTATGCTATTTTGTGAATAACTAGGAGCTTCGACCCCCTATTAGTTGCCGTTCATTAACTTCAAGAACTGCATAATTTCTACTTTAAATTAATTTCCCATTTAAATATAATTTCCCATTTAAATATAATGGTGGATCAGCCTTCATCTCCCTATCGCTCGACAAGCTCTGGCAATACTTGAGCAGTTACGTGCTCATTTTGCCTTATTCTTGCTTAATACCCCAGCATTAATATTTTAATTCTTATTATGCTATATTTATACTAGTGACTACTATGATAGGGTAGATAGAAAAGAATAGGGTAGAATTTAAAGAAAAAATCTTTCTATATCTATTTGCATAAATACTAAATATCTTTATTTTGAACTTTCATTTAATAAAAATTTCCCTTTTTTTCATTTAACGAAATTTGATTCATTGGCCATGNAAAAAAAAAAAAATAAAAAAGGAAAATACGAATATTATATGATCTTATATGATATTATATCTTTCTGTATGTAAATGCATAATTAGAGAAATAATTAGATATTAAAAAAATTGCAAAAATTCTTTTTACGTTTAGACATAAGCGGGGGAGAGGGAAAAAATTTACTTTTACAGGGATTGGCTTTTAATAATATGAATGATTCTAAATTGACTCCAAAACTAATTCGAAAACTTTCTATAAGTAAGAAAATAATTCAATGTTTGTCTAGCTAAAAACGAGTATCCTTTTAAACATTCTAAAGAAGGAAGAATGTTTGAAATTATATTCTAAAATTTCATATCGCGATTGATTATATTTCAATGGATTAGTTGCACGACATTATAATAGCCATTTTCAGATTATTAGTCCTTTTAAAGATAAGGAATATTCCAAATGAGTTGGAAAAAGTATTCTTCTTTTGCATTGATTGGTTTTTAATAATAGGAATGAAACTAAATTGACTCCAAAACTAATTCGAAAACTTTCTATAAGTAAGAAAATAATTCAATATTTGTCTAGCTAAAAACGAGCATCCTTTTAAACATTCTAAAAAAGGAAATTAAAAAAGAATGTTTGAAATTATGTTCTAAAATTTCGTATCACGATTGATTATATTTCAATGGATTAGTTGTACGACATTATAATAGCCATTTTCAAATTATTAGTCCTTTTAAAGATAAGGAATATTCCAAATGTGTTGAAAAAAGTATTCTAGTTTCTTAAGATGCTTTTATTTTATTTTTCAGACAAAATATTTCGAGGTGGGAAATTAAATTAACTCTGTTCTTGATAAAATTTTCATTTTCCTTCTAATCTCCAAAACGATCACCCACAATGAAAGGATAATTTCTTCCAATTTCCCTTTTTTCTCGAGAACAATTCTCTAGATACACACTGTAATGAGATAAAAGTTTCTTCCCCTTTCCCCCCTTTGCATTGTCCGGAATAAGCTTAGAACGTTTTTTGAGGGGTGACGGGCAAATATGTTGATCCAAAAGACGCATGCGCAGATTTATAGTGAACATAAATGCGCGAATAGTTCCGGAGAGAATCTTCATTCTGTTCTCCGGATAGTTTCCCAGGAAAAGTTCGAAAAATCATGCGCATCTTTCAACAGGATTTGTCTGATCGCAAAGTTTCTGAAATTCGCTTGCTTCAGTAAGGGTAAGTAAACTGACGATATTTTAAAGAGAACTTAAATTTTGTACTGTTGCCTTTAAAAGTTTTTATTCAACAGCACTCTGTGGATACTGGCTGATTTAAAAGTAATAATAAATTAAGAAATTTAAATTTAGTACTTTTTAAAAAATCTTGTAAAAAATTTTAATAAAATTATTTTTTAAAGCTAGCAAAACAAACACAGTTGCTTTTGGTACTAAGTTAAAATGTACAAAAATTATACAATATAACTACTAATATTACTTATTATAGTAATATAATTCAAAAAAATTAGTAAATTTTTAAAAATTGTTGATACGACATTTATTTTTTGTTTTTAAAGAATATGATAAAAGATTGGAAAATTTTTTCCTTATGGAGATGATGATTTAAATTTTCAGATATTTGGATAAAATATTTGCTTTAAATTTTTAACAGTCTGATTTAATGTTTCGTATAAAATTATTATAAGCATATAAGATATTTTATTTTAAAGATATAAAATACGAATATTCCACGTATATTATAGAAGCTTATAACAAGTGATGTTAAAAATTAAAATATGAAAATGATGCATTTATTTGTAAATATGACGTTTTTAAATAATGAAGATGTCATTTTTTGATAATAAATACAATCGATTTAAGCAACAGATATAGTGCATTTAAACAAAAGTATGTCGTCTTCAAACAATGAAATTGATGTTTCTAAACATTGAATATGACGTTTACAAATAATATATTTCATCTAAACGCAACATTTTCTAGCAATAAATATTATGTAGCTAGCATATGTGTGATTTATTTTAATATGTGATAAGAAGAAAAAAACTAAAAAATCTTAAAATGAATTCAATTAAAAAGAAATTTAATAAATAATATTAGAAATAGTGAAAACTGTGTAATTCAAAGCTAATATACTGACTACATGAAACTAATTGAAATACTTCTTGTGTTATGCTTGGAATAAATTTAAAAGTATTATTCTCTTGATAAATTTGTTAAACAACTATAAAATGAACATTCTTTTATTTGTTCATAAAGTTGCATGAAAATGCTACAAACCGCTCAAAACAAGAAAAAAAATTTTCAAATATGTCTTCAAAATATTAAAGTATACAGAATAGATTATAATACGTTTTCAAATTTTGATCAATCTAAAAATTATTTCTATTGAATAATTTTCTAGGATTTGATATTTCTACTTGACAAACAACATTTTCAGAAAACGTATTTGAAAATGCTTAGGTGATTTATAGAATATTTAGCTAACTAACTTTCCACAGATAAAGTTTAACTTTAAAATAAAACAAAGAATGTCACCTGAATAGTTTTTTTTGGTGACAATTTGTTATAAAACAATGGTTATATAAATTTTTAAGTTTAAAAGATACCTTTATATATTTTTCATTAAAAAAATTTTAAGCACACGCAGTCTGCAATGCGCTTTAAATAACCTTCTTTATAACTCTAAGTGACATCAGTGCTTCCGTTGCTCTAATCTTAACGCTATCAAACTTGTCTACTTTTAAGGAAGCCATTAAGCTTTAAACATGTTTTTAAATAATAAATAAGTCGTGGTTGAAAAATTGTCATACGTTCATAGCTGTCACTCTTAAGGCTTTTTGCAAAAGACATATTTTATTAAAACATAATAATCTAAGGTTTATTTAATTTTAGATTTGGTCTTGAGTACCAAAATATACTAAGGCATTGACATGTTTAAGTGTTTCCACCATGAGAAAAAAGTACGGTCAAAATTACCAGAATATGGTAAAATTTATCGTGCTTCTGACTCTATCGGATGACCAAAAAGATCAATAAATTTTACCGAAGCACTTTGGTTACTATGAAATATGGTTTTAGGATGTATGATAAAATTTGGTAAACGTTGTAAAATTTGGTAATTTTATCGAAATACCGTAGAGCATGTCATAAAAACCATTTATTCGGTAAATTTACTTTTTAGTTTTGCATTCTTACAAAATGTGTGATGATAAGAACTATAATTTTAAAAAGCAGAATTTCCGGCAAACCGTTACCATAGAAACGGAAAATTTAGCAAATAAATGGTTCAAATACCGTATATTTTGGCCTTGTTAACCATAATTATGACTTCTTTTTTTTTAAACCAAAAATGTTAATATCATACAATACGGTAATCTTATAATACTTTTTTTCTCTGCGCAATATTAATGAAATACCTGCTTAATTGATACTCCACATTTGCTTTTTCCTTATCACAACAATTTTTTTTTAAATATTCGTAAATTTATCAGTTATTTGTGTTTTCAACAAACAATTTGATAATAAATGTTCTTTTACTATCTTTTGAACTATTTTAATTACATTTATGTCTCAGTTGTATGGTAACACATTTTCATATTAACCATATATATAAATATACCATTTACATTGAAAACCTTATTTTTCCAATTATATTGAAAAACAAATACTTCACTGAAAACGTCATAAAAATGTACTGTATGTTTATTAATTTCCAACGAATTATAGAAAGAGTTTTTATTGTTGTTTATGTAATTTTAAGAAACAATTTACCAGGGTAAAATTGAGCCTGAGACATTAATAAAAGCATTATTTTAAACTTAAGGTGGGAAAAAAGTAATGAAATACACTGTTAGAAATTTCTCTGAAGAGATGGTTCGATAACAATTTACTTAATTCTTATTTTACTATATTCAAACAAAACAGTCAAATAACCATAAATAAGATGGTATTCAAACTGTTAACTGTGAGAAAAACTGTTTTTTAACTGCTTTCATTTTTTACGGTTAAACAGCCAGAAGTTTATCGCACAAACTAGGCCCACTTATTAAAGTTACTTAGTTCCTCGTATATAGGCGCATATCATAACCGAGAGGACTAATCTGTCATTCTCATGATCGACAGAACGGGGACCAGAGTCCCAGCATTGAAGCTATAATATTTTCTCCTATCTCATACACGAAGAGATGAAGTTATTCCGGTGTCCACTGTCCCCAATTTCTGATCCAGGCCTAGTAAATTACGATACTTTCATTCACGCATAGATGGCAGCACCATGAAGCTGTCAAACAATCTCCAATATCCAGTTGAATTTCTTTTTTACTGTTTTGAAACCATGATAGTTTGGAAATGGTTAAAAAAAGCAGTATAGTTTTGCATTTATGGTTTTATAAACATATTAGTTTTAATTTGTTTCAAAACCGTAAAGGTAAAAAAAAATTTCTTTACTTACGGTTAGCCGGATGATAAATTTAACGGTTAATTGGATGGACACACTGCTGCAGGTTATTTTACCATAATTTTAGAATGAGAATTCCAACAGTGTAGATTATTTTAAGTGACACGATAAAGCAAGAAATAAAGCGTCCGAAAACCTAAGGCCCAGTTCTTAAATTAAATTTGTTTATTTATAACTGTAGCTTTTTTATCCTTCATTTATCACTGTAGCTTTCACTGATAATTGTAATAAAATATCCAAGTTCAAATAAGAAGTTTTTTATTAAAAGGGAAAAAAAATATAAGAAAATTCTCGATTTAGCTTCATCACGCACAGTCGGTGTCTAACCAACATGAAATAAAATTGAAAAGTAACTACAAGGTCTAATTCTCAACTACATGTATTTCGCATATTTTTTTCATTAAAGTTGATGGATGGTTTATCACAATAAGGAATTGGACTCAGTAAAGATTTATTTAATGTCCTTGTAATTTTGAATACGCTCAGTGGTTCTCTTTTCATCAAATGAAAAGCAAGGAAATTCAAAGTAAAAATATATGGAAAAGCTGCTTTCTTGCATAAAAATAATTCAAATTTACTTATAATTGAAAATAATACCATGGGAAACTTTTCAGTTACTTCAATGACAATGTGATTAAAATCGGAGCATCACTGTCGATGTTTTTTTTAATCGAAGTTTTATTTTTGTTTTTGCCTAAATGAGCAGATGTGGATGAAAATTGTAAGACAACGTACTCTCTCTTTTTCTTTTTTCTTTATCTATTGTTTCGTCTATTTTATCTATTATCTATTTTATCTTTACTTATTTCATCAACTCGTGCAATAAATTTCTTAACTTATATTCGATTTTTTTTAAACATTTAATCAGTATGTATATACACTCTATAACAAAAAAATCGACGCACCAAGAAAGAGTTGTCCGATTGAAACGAAAATTGGTGGATAGGAAGACAATGTACAGAATAGTAAATGATTAAAATTTCAGAACAATTGAGTAATTTATTGCAGAGTTACAGTAACAAGTTCAATAGGGTGTTGGTTGACCCGCCTCTAGCCTGGATACAAGCTGCCACACGGCGTGGCATAGACCGATAGAGCTCCCGGATGGTTTTTTGCGGTATTTATCCTGCCAAATTCGATCCAATTGTCGAACAAGGTCATAAACATTCCGTGCCAGATGCAATCGCCTTCCCATCATATCCCAAACATGCTCGATGGGAGAGTGATCTGATGATCTGGCAGGCCAAGGAAGAATTTGACAAGTTTGCAGACAGCTCATAGCAACACGTGCCGTATGTGATCTGGCATTGTCCTGCTGAAAAACCAGCCCAGGGCGCTGCAAAAGGGACGGTAGCAAAACAGGTCTTAGGATGTCGTCGACGTACCGCTGTGCAGTAAGTGTATCTCTAATGACGACCAAAGGGGTCCGGCTGTCAAAGGAAATGGCACCCCAGACCATAATGCCTTGTTGAGGGCCGGTGTGGCGTGCAATAGTGAAGGCAGGATCCCCCCTCTGCCCTGTGCGTCTCCAAACACGTCTTCGATGATCGTCAGGACACATTTGCAAGCGGGATTCGTCGCTAAAGACTATACGTCCCCAGTCGGCATCATTCCAGCCATATGTGTTCAAAACATTCATGCATAAGAAATGTCATAACAATCGGATGATTGCTTCTTGGTGCGTCGATTTTTTTGTTATAGAGTGTATTTTAACCCTTTGACGCAGTGTCCCTATTATATATTTTCTTTTGACGCTTTAATTA